AAATTAAAAAATAAAAACGAGAGAAAACCAAAAACAAAAAACAAAATATAATAACGAGTGGTGAAAATAGCAACAACAGCTGTGTGTCCCAACGTCGCCTGCCAACACCAACCTGCCGTGAATGATGGCACAACTTTTATTTCGCGCTGGAAAATCGCTTGAACTGAAATTAAAATTTTAGTGGCTTATTATAAGTGAGAAAAATAAAAAAATAAAACACGAAAAAGTGAAGCGAAAAAGTATTGCCAAATGAAAAGGACATATTGACAAGGCAAAAAACAAAGCCTGGAAAAGTATAAATGTATAAATGTAGGCAATATTTGGCGCGCATATTTTTCATGGCGACAGCAACAATGTTTGTGCGACAAGTGGAATGCGTTCTTCGACTTCAACCATATTTATATACAGTGACTCAAACAAGTGACCACGTATTGTTTTTTTTTTTTTTAATATTCTTAATGTTTTGATATCCATAACAATAATTAAATTGTAAGAGGCCGATATCTGTACATTATAGATATCAAAGAAAAATTAACAAAAGGGGTCAAGAGGGTTATTAGAGCAACAGAAGCCAAATCCACAGTTTTTAAAATTTTTGTCCGTCTGTCTGTTTTGTATGAAATGAATGCAATTTTCCCCAATGTATTGCTAGAGGTCTAACTTAAAATATAGAGGGAAAAAAAGTTATAGAGCTGCCACCTGGTTGAAAATTGCAGTTTAAGTAAATTGATAAGATAAAGTAAATATTGCCATTTGGCTGCCAAAAGAAAGAGGTTTAAGAACGCTTATAGTCGAAAATATTTTTGTTGAAGGTTGCCACTTGTTTGAAAATTTTAACGCAATTTAATTGATAAGATAAATTGAATATTGCATTATGGGTATCAAACTGAAGAGGGTTAGGAAAGTTTGCTGCGTAAAATATTTTTTACGAGGGTAGCTACCTGTTTGAAAAATTGTACTAACTTAAATTGATAAAATAAATAAAATATTACAATACGGGTATCAAACAGCATAAAAATACCTGTAAGGCGAGCTTTTTGATCTGAATCTTTACAATATTTTTATGTATGCAGTTTTCTAGCACGTACAATTTTAGTCTAATGAAACACGAAATGGAAGTTTCAGTCGGTTAAAAAATCGCGTTGATTATTGGGAATTTTTTTGTAGACTGCTTTTGTGTGTTTTTTTTTTATATAACAAGTGCCTTTTACAAAAATTGGCGTTGAATTTTTGAAAATTTTCAAAAATCAACTAGATTTTTTTTAGCTGTTTGAAACTTCCACATCATTCGACTAAAATTCAACGCCATTTTTTTTTTTTTGTAAATTGCACTTGTTATACATATGTAAAAAAACTCAAAAGCAAGCTCAAAAAAAATCTCAAAAATCAGCGCGTTTTTTTAGCCGGTTGAACCTTAATTAAAAATGTGTGTGCTATAAAACTACATGTCCAAAAATGTCCTAGATATTCAGACTAAAAAGTAGAAATTACGATGGCAATTTGTTGAATTTTTATTAATTTTCTATAAAGTTTTGGTTAAAGCTTGGACGGTATTTTAAGAGAAAAATAACAAAAATTTTGAAGGAAAAAACATAAGGGATTTCAATTCTCATATACAATAAACCAAATTAATATGGGACTACCCTTTTAGAATTGATAACCTCCTCCTTTTTTAACGATTATTTAAAAAAAAAAAAAAATCAAAAACGTCGCTATTTGTTTGAGTCACTGTATGTACCTATATACATGCGCGCATTTGAGTGTGGGTTTGTCAACTGAATTTTCACGCTTGTACTGCTGACACAATTTATAAAATATAAAATATTTGCTCTAATTTTATATGAGTTTCCGCTTGATTTGTGCCGCGAAATGTTGCGTATCGAATGGCTGAAATATTTTACGCTCGACGATGCTTTAACTACATACATACATAAGTATGTACACAAATGTACCGCTACGCTCAATAAAGTGTTGTTGATACTCATATTTTTTTCAAAAAATTTAGCTTTGTAAAATTTTAGAGTTGCACACAAGTGCCTATATCTCGTGGAATGATTGGAAGAAAAATTATTTAGTAACAGTCCTGCAAATAGTGAATAGGATTCTCGTGGATAATTTTATTCGCCGCCTTGCTGTCTGATTAAATCGCCGCTTTTGCTTTTCTAGTAGCACTATTATGTAGTAACCTACAGGCCTCACATATACCTAGGACTTCAGGCTAAAATATGCCGGCTGGAACTCCTCGAAATAGCATCAAGCCCCCACACCGCAGTCCATCTTGGATCCGTCAGTGTAAATAAAGATGGCTTCCTTATCATCAGCTGGGCCTTCTCTCGATTCAATTCTGGATGGAAACCACCCCAGTACATTCAAGCCGAAATTCCGAATCGATACCATAGTTCGTGGTTTTATTTGCTATCGCCCCAATGTTTAAGATTGAGCTACGCCCAAAGGTCCTCATATTTTGCAGCCCCGACTACCCGAGTCCTAATATTGAGTACATCGCGATTTCCTTTAGAAATTGATCAATTGGAATCATATTGAGGACGACCTTCAGTGCTTCTGAGGTCAATGTCCCAGTGATCCCCAAACATACCGCTCTTTGTACGCCACTTAGCATTGTACTGTCTACTTCAAGCTGGCCACCAAGCTAGGGCTCCGTAGGAAGGCATCGGCCTTATAATGGCGGTTCACATAAATTTCGATTTTTATTCCCAGTTTCTAGTGAAGATCTTTTTACAAGTATAGAAAGCAATATTGGCCCTCTCTTTGCGTTTTTCAACGTCAAGTTTCAAGTTTAGTTTAGTGCCTAGGATGATTCCCAGATATTTTGCATTGCTTGATAGGGAGAGGATGTCTAAATTGGAGTATATTATCTATTTGTAAATAGTAATAATTCGGTTTTGTAGAGGTAAACGTTACGGCCACTACCCTGCTATGCGTGATACAAGCCTAGATGTAGAAAACAAAGGGACCAGGGCGTTTAGTACTGTCTGACACCGGTCCCAGTACCGGCTCTATCGAGCAAGCATCTATCAGTATAGCAGACTTTTTGTACCCTTGACAATCGTTTTGAATAACTCTCTGCAAGTGTTCCTCTCCGGAATAATTGTTACCATGTAGGGCTTGCTGAAGGATAATGTCGGTAACATTTTATCTGTGAGGTCATTCCTTATGCTTACTAAATTGCTGAGTCGCAAAGCGCTCCAGCAAGCATCATAGTCAATTAGTACATCTAGAGGTGGTATACCTGTGATGATTACCGCTGCTTTCGTTGGACAGGTGCGCATAGCTTCTGTAATAGCTACATATACTTTAACTGACTAAAATTTCAGTTTGGGGGATTTCCCCCATGCTTTACCATGAAGCCACTTGCAGGGATTCCATCTTAATTAACCTAACCTAACCTCCTATCTGTCAGGATTTAAAGCTCTTCGAACACACATATTACGTCCTATCTCCTCTTAAGCCGGCTAAAAGTATCATCTCGCTTCTTCACTTCTCTTCAGCTCCCTATATCGATCCTACATAATTCGCGTTGCACTCGATCGTAGCGAGACTCTGTAGACTGCATCTTTTTTCTCTGCAGTGCCGTGGCACTCCTCGTCCTACCAATTTCTCTCGCAAAGCAGATATGGAAGTCGAGTGGCCTAGATGCTGGTTTTCTCTTGTGAGAACAGCTTCTTAACGTCGAGCCTTCATTGCATTTTAAATCAGATATTTCGCTCAGTACTAAGTCAGGTGAATGTCTAGATTGCGACCAGATATTGATCTGAGTTGCTGGTTGAATCTTTTCTTACTGAATCCTATAGTGCTTATCACAACTATACGACACTCACATATTGACAAGTTTTGACTATTTTTTTTTTATTTTTTTTTAAACTTAATTGTTTTTGTATAAAATGGAAAGATTAGGTTTATGCATTTTGTAGCTCAATCAATTTTGGTATAAAAAAGTGTAGGTTTGCAGTAGCTAAGGCTTTCCCTTGATTTTTTGGCATTTTGTTTTTTTTTTTGTTTGTTGACGATGCCAGTCATTTTATTCCGTACAAAATACGTTCGATGTTTTTTTATATGAATAAAAACGAAAACAGTTGGCCAAAAATCCACGGCAGGTCACAGCTACTTCAAACTTACACTCTGTTGCACTAAAATTTAATGGGTTACAACACTGCATACTTTAAATATTTAAAAAAATATCTTTTTAAAAAGCTCGATTTTTTTTTTTAATATTGCACAAACTTGCATTTATACGGTTTTTGTTAATCGTAATTTTTTATCTATTTTCAAACCAAACAAATTAAAAGTTTACAATTTTACGTGTACAAATACAAGTGCTGAGATTCAAAACAAGGAGAAAAAGTAATAGTTGATATGCTGAGTAATCGTTTCTAAGATTCTAGTTAAGTCAAGTCAAGTCTAAGTCTTACATAACTCAGCTTTAACTCACTCAAAATTCCATTCAAGTAGATGTATTTTAGTTTCCGTCATGGAAGCTTTAATTTGCGAAATATTATATTCTCCCCACATATTTTCTAAATTCACAATCATTTATCTGATTGAATTTCCCGAAAATTGATATTTATCATTACGCAAATATTTTGCAATAACTTTATTTTTTCGGATTTTTTCCACACCAGTGCTGATGCTACTCGCTTATTTGTTGATTGAGGTTGAAAAATTGCAATTCGGTAAAACAACAAAAACTCAGAACATCAGTAAACAAAACAAACAAGCAAACAAATGTTACATAACCAGCACAAATAACGAAAATTAATTGCGAAATCAAATTGAAAAATTGCATTTCAACAAGCAACGTAACGCAAAAAGTGTCAAACCACAGTGGAAGTTAATTAAAAAAAAAAAAAACAAAGTATATAAATAAGTATCTACAAATAAAATTTACGAAAAATTGCTGAATAAATTTGCCAGTGGCAATGACTTTCGCCAGCCGTACGCCACGCGCCGCCCTCTACAACTGCTCAACTGCGCGGAAGGTGAGGAGCCCCTGGCGAAGTGGGATTATTGCATTTGCGGCTGTCATCGGCATTTTCATGATACTGCTGATGCTTGGCAATGCGATAACAATGTTGATGAAATACAAAAATATCACCAACTACAAGAACAAAAGTGAAAATTTGGAAAATATTAGCGAGAACGCTAACGCAAGGCAGATGGTCAGCAGCGTTGAAATTGCGTTGTTGACAAACGAATTTGCTGCAACGATTAACACGAACAACAGCAGCAATCAAATGTACAACAGCAACAATAAAAACAACGACAGTACACGTATAGACAGTCGAGTACGGCAACTTTCTGAAATTGATGCTGTTGATGAGAATTATACCGTTGCCGCCTTTCATGGCAATCATAATAATTTGCTGGCCCCTCCTACTGCGGCACAGCGCCATAATCGCTTTGATGATGAAATTAATATAAGCAATCAACGCAATGAATTTAGCCAGCGACCTCAAGCAGCAGCGGGAGCTATGGCAAGGCAGATGGAGATTGCTGTAGGAGCATCGAAGTCGAGTGAAAATGCTGGTGGAGTGGTGGAACATGAAGCTGCTTGGCAAGAGCAGCAGCCGCAACAGCAACAGGCGAGTAAGGAATTGGTGCTTCACCGTCAAAAGCGTTATTTGATTTTTCCCGAAGGCAGCTCATTCCAAATGGGTGCGTATACAATTTTTTTAATTCCAACTTAATTTATGTTTTGAAAACTAATAAGGCAATTTGACCACTGTCTTTCAAATGATCACAATTTAATAATAAACAGTAGTAATTAAAAAAAGACACACAAATTTAAAAACAAGCTTTTATTAGTGGTTAATAAAAAGGAAAAAAGTATTCGCACCAACTAGAGGCGACATTTTTTGTAGGGTTATTTCTTTCCATTTAAGTAAATATGTATGAAAAAATCGGACCACAAATTCTCGACAGCTGCACCACCTATCGGACTAATTCCTCTTTCATATTGCATTTGATTACACACAGGTGACACTTGATAAAAGCTCGTAATAAATTAAGTATGGCAGTCCCCAAAAATGAAATGCTATTGCCATTAAACAGTCAAGGAGCATTTTAATGCCAGTAGGTTGAGTCTTGCTGAGTTCTACTACTGCTACTCCGGACGTTGTTCCGTTAGATTTAAGTGATTGATAGGAGCCTGGCTATCAAAATGGCGAAAGGCCGTTTAGCTGTGATTAATATAATAAAATCGCAACAATGGTCCGTTAAGTGAAATCTGAGGTTTAGCGCAAGTTCGCCAGAGTAAATCTCTTTCTTTCTCACACTTTCGTTAAATTTGGAACCATCTGTATATATAGCCATTGACCCGGGGTTTAAATCAGTGGCCCCTTCCCATTCGTTCCTCTCTGGGATTCTTTTGGAGTATTTGTTGTTGTGGTAGAGGATTTGTATAATCTATCTGTCGTAGATTATCCGGTAGAGTTTCAAGAACTTTTTCATATCCGAATCTGAGGTCTCCTCAAGGGCTTGTTCGTATTTAACCTGCCCGCACTGCAGCCGGCCCGAAATTAGCCTTAGAGATCTTCAGGTGATAGATTTAACATTATATCCAGATATTTGGTGAGTGTAGTGCTCTTGTGACGAACATGGCGGCCGTCTGCTTCACTCGTTTCACCTTGTCTCTGGCTTTTATCGCTGCTGTGTAGCCGCCTTGCAGGCATACAGGGCGGTATTGCCAATACCGTATTGACCTTCTTGGAGCGGTCTGAAATGTATCGCTTCCAGCTCAGTTCTTATTTAGAATAACTCCAAGGTATTTGACCTCGGTTGAGAGAGTAGGTGCCACCCCGTTTGGCATCCATAATCCTGGGATCAGATGGTTACCAGAATGAGTACGTTAAGGAGACACTTTTCTGTGTGGCTAGATAATAAAATACTCTATGGTACTCTGTAAGGTTTTTTGATGTGAAGATAGATTGACTGTCCGAAAATATAGAGATCTTTGTTCTGGCATTATTGCCTGTTGGCACATAAAATGTGGTCTGTCTCAAGTATGGCAGCTATGTAGCTCCATAGGAAATATTTTTGCATCTTTTCTTAAGGTATCTACACCTTAAGGTGCTCCAGAACTATTGGTATACCATTTTGGTGAATCGTCCTGCAGCCACGTGGGGTTTCTATTCCAATTTTCACAAGTGGGAAATATGAACTTGCACCTCTTCGTAAAGCTGAGGATGAGATCAATTTGGTCTGAGGCCAGGGTTAATTGCCACTTATGTTTAAGGCGTCTTGCATCAAGCCCCTAATGGTCATTTCAAGGTCACCCTCTTTTACAATTGATATATCATCAGTGTAACTTATAGTTTGGTATACTTTCGCTTTGAGGACTTAATTAGTTCATCACCCAGTATAGATATCAACAGTGCAGTGAGCACCCCTCCCCGGGCACAGCCTTCACCGCAGTGGTGCTGAGATCTTCCGGTCCTAGGTTCGCACTTATAACTCTCTGGTTAAGCATATGTCGATCTATTTGACTATGGGTTAGTAACGCTTCCATTGATTTGAAGCTAGTATTATCAAATACATCATCAATATCCATAAATGAGCAGAAGGGTAGTACTCTTTGAAGCAAATGTATTTTCTATTACAGCTCCGATAGATACATCACCAAGTTTGGTGGATATCATACCACTCCCGCTTCTACTCACCGAGACTCACTAAAACAGCATAGGATTTATTATTTTTTCATGCCTTTTCTGATTTATAACCATTTTCTCTTTCGAACGGCCTTAGAAAAAAGTACTGACTAAATATCCAAAAATTACGACTTATCACCTTCGCCACCGATTAATTTATTTTTTCACCAATATTTACTTGAATTTTTATTAATCTACTCTCTTTTTTTCACCCCTTACCATACCAGTATTCGATCTCATCATCGGCATGGTGGACTACACGAACTATCTCATTTTGGGCATCACTTGCGCCGTTGCCTGGGAATTGCCGAGTAAACCGCCCAGTGAGTTAATCGAAGATTTACATGAAAAAGTCACTGAAGGCATCTATCCAACAAGTGAACAAGCAGCGCCTGCGGCAATGCGTCGCAACGATACTAGTGTGGATACAAACAAAGTCGGCGATACAAAATATGGCATGGCCCCCGCAGGCATCAAATATGTTGACAATGCAAATGTGGCTGCGTTTACCGGCATCAACTATGGCGGAAATATGCAACAGGCGCAGGTGGTGTCAACACAGTCTCAGCGATTGCCACCGCCAGCGCTGTCACCACTAAATGCCATGGAAGCGTCGTACTATACGACGGCACGTCAATCCAATCCATTCGCCTCGCCCATCACTGAATTTAATGTCAATCATAAAGAGTCACCCGTTACACACTACTACCCTGGTGATGGTGCTTATCGGCCGTCAAACTATTATGCTAACACGCACAGCAACCGCAACTATAACATCAACAACAACAACAAATACTACAGTCCAACGTACAAACACCGTTTGGCTGATAAAAGTGAAAAGTCAAGTTACTATGGTGTCAGCGACAGTAGCAGTAATAGCAAGAACCAAAAGCCTTTTGGCTATTCAGCTGTTGGCGATTCAACCGATAAGCAGCCAGTGAAATTTGCCAATCTTTGGCAACACCAACAGCAGCCACAATACAAAAAGTGGCAATCATGGCAGGATTATGACAGCAACTGGCAACCATATCAGCAGCGGCAACAGCAGAAACATGCGAAATGGGGGCAGCAACAACAAAAATGGGCAACTCATTCAAAATTTGCAGGGACGGACAATTGGTGGCAGCGCAACAAGCAACATGTTACGAACAGTTGGAGTGCAAAGCCAGCTAATTGGCGAGATGAAAATGTGCGGTGAGTAGATATGTATGTATGTAGATGTGTTGTGCCTTTGAAAAACTCAAAGTGAAATTAATTGCAGTTTAGTATTTTATAACGTTTATTTTTCTCTAAATTAATTCCTGCTCTGCTGCAGAAAGTGGCGGAGTTGGCATGCTGTTGGTTGACTCCTTTCCACGTGAGCTGCATAGATAGAGGATGTGTCCAATTAGTCTGGAGGAAGGTGAGAGTAACTTTTATTCGCAAAGCAGGAAAGTCCTCTCACGTATCCCCGAATGGCTTCAGGCCAATCAGTCTGTCGTCTTTCCTACTAAAGATGTTGGAGAGGCCTATTTACTCGAGAGAGACTAAGCTTCTCTTAGCAGGCTTCTAACAGCAGGCAGGAATCCGCTCAGCGATATGTTGTTAAGGTTACAGAAAAGTCTTTGGAAAGCAAAGACTTCGCGGTTAGGGCCATCCTGTATATTTGAGCGGGGCCTAATAACGTGTTATCTATGGTGATTGTGAAGACCCTATGCAAGCTCGGAGTTGAGACCAACCTATTTGCGCTTATCTCACGCATGCTCTGCGACAGAACTGCCATTGCTGAATGGGGATGTTCTCTCTCTCTTCATCTGGGTCGTTGTCATTAATTATATCCTGGAGGCGGTGGAAAGGAGAGGCTGTCACTTATTATCAGAGGTAAATTTCCGAACACTATACCTAAATTTGGTCACAAACTGGTCTGCAAGCCTCGGGCTCGCTATTAATCCTGAAAAGACAGATTTGGTCTTGCTCATCAGGAGATACAAGGCTCTTGATGCCCATAGGTGGCACTCCGCTTGTGCTTTCTGATAAACTCAAATACTTAGGAGTGATTTTTAATAGAAAGCTAATGTGGTGACCCTATACTGCTGTAAAATTAGGAAGAGAAGGGAATCTCCCCGAAGTTTATCTTCTGGCATTACTAAACCTATTATGCTGTATGGGGCCATTGCCTTGTGTGACGCACTTGAAATGAAGCTGAAGCATGCTGGATTCTCTTTCTGCAGAGTACGGCACTCGGCTATCTTCGAAAAATTCAATTTCATACAGATAGTAACCAATCGGTGGGTGGAAGTTAGAACGCAGAGGTGGAGAAGGTATCTTCTGTGAAGAACTAATATTAAATATTAAATTAATTTACAGGATTCTTGTTGCGTGTTTGAGGTTTGAGCTGTCTATAGCTATCTTCAGACTAATTTGGGTTCTGGAGTACAGCGAAATTGCAGAAGCTGCTGTTTCGATCAATTGACTAGTCAGGGCTAGAAGCCATCACCAACTTAAGGGAGGTCTTTGGGGTACTTATGGCAGCCTGCGAACTGATTCTGGACAAATAGGCTTTTAGTCGGCTCAGCGAGCGCCGGGCGGAAACCTCGACATTTAAAGTTGCAAGATCCTTTTGGCCGGTAATTGACCCTGTGCGGTCTAAGAAACTTCTTGCTAAGCGAAAACTCTTGGGGTTCTGCGGGTTCTGACTGAGCACTACCCAATGGGAATTCATGCTGTCATTAACGGTCTAAGCTAGCCCCTTGGAGGACTGCCACCTTACCCAACCTATCAATTCATTACACTTAAAAGTCTACAGCTACTTTGATGTGAAAATATCCAGAATATTATTATAGGGAAAGATATTCTCTCTGGAATAGGCACCGATATATATATGTATCTGCTATATATTCTATATCAGCTTTCATCCCATTCTAATCTTTAGTTGTACATAATATCTGATAGATCCAACCTCGCCGGAATATCAGCTTTTCTTGGCTTCTTCTTCTTTTTGGCCGTGTTCAACAAAGAACGTCAGTCGATTCTTTTTTTGCTACCCCTTCACCTGATCTTTCCAAAGCAGAGGAAGTCTTCTTTCTTTTTTTACCACCACCTGTGGATATCGCATCGAATTCTTTCAGGGCCGGAGCAATCGCATCCATACTTTCGATATAGTCAAGGAAGAGTATCATAGTTCACTTTATTATGTCGCTGTCTTGTTAAAGCTCATCCAGCTGAACTTTCCATAATCTGCGATATTCGACGTCGCAAAAGCGTAAAGTATTAAGAACAAAATAAAGCCCGAATTCAATATTTTATAATGCAAAATTTCTCAAGTATAAAAGTGCAGGTTCGTCCGAACTTAGACTTATTTACTTGTTTCAATAAATCATCAAACTGGAATTATTTGTATTTTCCTATTTTTCAACTGCCCTGCAGGCTCCATTCATTCATTTACTTAAACATATACGAGTAAAATCAAAAACCCATTTTAATACCGAATTTTTCCGCTACCTACAGCATTCCTGAGGTGCCGGCGCAAACACGCGAACCAATTGTGGCATATGCACCACCAAGTGAGCGGCTTCGACGCACTGATACCACAATCAATTCAAAAGCCGATGCAGTGGAAGCACGCAGCTTTGATAGTGCTCAACGCCCGATACTAACAACAAGACCCAAAGCTAAAATCTATCCAGTTTTTGGTCGGCGACGACGACGGAGGCGTAGTAGTGGCAGCAGCAGCAGCAACGATGCTAAATTGAACGCTTTCGAACTTAAGCTGGAGCGTATACATTTGCGTGAGCAATTGCGTACGCGGCAAAAGTTGTTTGGCAAAATTGAGAAGCTCTATGAAACGTGAGTGGATGTAAAAATTTCAAAGTTTTTTCTGCTGAATTTTTAACAATTTTTCGATTTTGTTTTTTATTTTCTCGCTTTATGAACACTCTGCAGTCGTGGACTAAACGGCTCCGCCTGTGTATTGCGCGCACTGTGCGAAACTGGACAGCAACATATAAAACAA